AAAGGAGCACGTAGAAGAAGCTCTATTTTGGTTATGCTTAATCTTGATTTATGTCTGGAACCCTGAGTGGGGTGATGTAATGAACCTGCCAAGTTCTTTGATCTGTTTTGTACAAAAACTGAAGCTTTACAGAAGTAAAATTGCAGCAGATTTTCACTACACAGTGTGTCTGTCTGTCATTTCCCTTGCATCGTATCCTGACTATCCTATCCTTCACCCTGTTCTCCCGTGGATGGCGGTCTCCGAGAGGGACGGTCCGCGGCACCCAAGTTTCAAATCCCAAATCTATTTAAAAAAAAAAAGGAAAAAACTGTAGGGGCTGAAGCCAGGTTTAGTGTATGTCTGTAATCCAGCACTGAGAGCCCGAGGCAGGATGAGCTGAGAACCCCCGGGGAAGCCTGGGCTGCCCAGTGAAAGGTGCTTTGGGTATAGCTCATCTGTGAAGCACGGGATCGGTGTTCCCAAGGCTCAGGGCTCAACAACAAAAAAAACTGCTAGAATGACCGCAAATTACAAATGTGCTCTGCTTTATGTTTTTGTTGAACCAGGGAATGGTTAATTTTAGATATGGTTAATTTTGAACGTGAAACTCTCTTCTAATGCAGCGTGGCAGAAGAGGAGGAAAACGGCTTGCACTTTGGTATCCTTTACTATGGCTGGGATGACACCTAGTGCACCCACTAGGCCTCCAGGAAACATCTCCTGGATGGCGCGTTTCATTTACTTTACCAAACAGAGCACACACAATACACGCCATGAGGACTTGAGGAATTCTGGAGGGGATTCCTTGTTCACTGGGTGACCTTCCTGGACATCAGTTTCCCTTGCTCGTGGGCATGAGGAGGAGGCAGATCTGGCAGGAGCCAGTTTGCTGCTGGCAAGCAGTCGTCCTCTGTCTGTTCGTCTGTCTTACCTGAAAGCTTCAGGAGAATCCCAAAGCCTCAGGGCGGGTTCCGCCACGGGTCCCTCCGGCGACCCGACGGAGCTCCGGATGGCCGCTGGCACCCGGGACCCCAAACCACCGAAAAGCAGCGTATTTTGCTTTGTGGCCGGGGCGGGGCAGCCGGAGAGCAGGCCATTTTGCTACTGTGAGTCCAGCCGGGGTCACTACACACTCCTTTTCCACAATAATGCAGCCCTGAGCTGGCCCAGTGGCTGCCACACGCGGTTACCATGGCGACGGCGGCGCTACCTGGGGGCTAGACCAACGTGTCTGAGGGGGCAATACTCGCCCGGCCTACACCATTTGGCGTAAGAGTAACTCCAGAACACTTTCCCAAGGCCTTCCGCGCTCGCTGAAGCAGAGGGAACCCTCGGGAGCCCCGCTGCTCCGCGGAGGCTCCTCTGGGACGTGGCTCCCCCTCTATCCTCAGTGGTAGAGGCCATAGCCGCCGCGCATGCGCGCCTTGGGAACCCGGCGCCGGCCAATCGCCTTCGCGACGGTTGACGCGACGTGGGCGGATCCTTGCAGAAGGCTTGGGGAGAGCTTTGGACTCCGGCATCCCAGACGCGCCAGGTACGTCTGGGAGCGCTGGGCAAAGGCCGGGGCCAGCCCGGGAGTGGAGGGCGGCCAAGCCGGGTGGTGGCGGGCGCATCCTGCGACGGTGACTCGCATCCTGGGACGGTGTTTTTGACCCATCACCTGAAGGATTTCTTCTAACTGGTACTGAACTCCTATGGTCCTGTGGCCCATGCGCCTGCAGACACGCAACTAGCTGACCCTTTTGCCTTTGAGAACCAAAGATTCTCCCTTTACTTTCTTGTCGGAGTGAAGATAATGCATTTTATAACCTGATGCGAACTAAAGCTTCGCACAATAAGTACAGTTCCCTGTAGAGGGGCACAGCTTGATCTGCTTCCCAGGGTTGTGGTAAGCATCAAATGCTCCAACAACTTGTAAATAAGAAAACACTCCTCGCCTACAAACTGGGTGCTTTTATTATTCCTGGTTATAATTAAGAGACTCGAGAGCTGGAGAGATGGCTCAACGTCTAAGAGCACAAGTTGCTGTTGGAGAGAAACCAGATGGATTCAATTCCCAGCTCATGACGGCCAGTAGTAGCACCAGTTCCAGGGATCGGTGGACTTAAGGCACATGGTACACAGACTTACACGCAGGCAAAACACCCATACATATTAAGACAATAACAAAAAATAAAGCAGTTGAGGCCCTTCAGCGATAAAATGCTGGGATCCCGCTGAGGGTGAGCAGCGGTGTTGGTTGGAAACCAGGTATAGCCTCATAACTTTCTTGATCCTGAGCCCTTCCTATGAGAAGGCTTCACTAAAGAACCCTAGGACTAAAGGTGTCTGATCAAAGGCAGATGTATCTCTATGAGTTTGAGGCCAGCCTGGTCTACGGAGTGCATTCCAGGGCTACACAGAGAAACCCTGTCCCAACAAACAAAAACAAAACAAAAAAGAAACCTAGGATCTCAGCAGAGTTGATTGTAAAGTCATCCAGAGAGTCTCGTAGGGTGTTGCTGCGGCTTGCACTCACTCTGTAGAAGGGTGTGTGTGTGTGAGTTCCAGATTTGTGAAGGGAACTGGAGGAAAGGCTCAGGAAATAGGAGTGCTCACTGCACAGGCATGGTGACCCGAATCCAAGTCCCCGGCACCCCAGGAAAAAGCCCGTGGCGGACTCCACACCGGTACTCCCAGCACTGTCGGGGGCAGAGAGAGGACTGCCTGGACTTGCTGGCCGCAAGTCTAGCTCCAGGTTCAGTGAGAGACCCTGCCAAGGGACTGTGACAGGAGGCCATAAAGCAGCACACCTGGTGTCCTCTTCTGGACTCCGTACAAGCACACACACGCATAGACACATGCACACACACCTGCAGGTGCATGTGCATACAGCACATAAACACGTACATTAAAAAAAACTACCCTGGACCTTGCGGTTTTAAAACTTCTCCTTATTTGTTATACTTAAATTAGAAAGATGCCAGGCAGTGGTGACACGTGCCTTTAATCCCAGCACTAGGAGGCAGAGGCAGGCAGATCTCTGGGTTCAAGGCCAGCCCGGTCTACAGAGTGAGTTCCAGAATAGCCAAGACTATACAGAGAAATCCTGTCTTGAAGAAAAAAAAAAAACCAAGCAAACAAAAAACCCTTGACCTCTTCCCAGAAGCTAAGTGATGTGACTTTTGCGAGCACAGGAGGTTGGGATTGACGCTGTATAATGGCGACAGTGTTGTCAGTTCCACCATGGCTCTCTCCTTTCCTTGAGACCTCCTTACCTCTCATGACAGGACAAGGGGCTTGACACAGGGACCAAGTGATAAGCATCACTGTCAGCTGGGAATGAAGTACCAGTGTCGCTTCACAGCTTTAGAATTGTATGTATGCAGAAGTTAGAGTTCCTGGTCCACCTCTGACCGGCTTATGGGATAGAAATTTCATTCCTTGGTCCACACTGTAGTTCTGGTGAGGTCAACTTGGGACAGGTTTGCCTGACGCTAACAGCTGTGAAGCCACACAAAGTTTGGTTCAAATGCCCATTCCCACTGAAGACCTTAGCTTTCTAAATGTCACCAACCAAATGGGGTGAAGAGGAGGGGCTTGTCAAGGGGTGTTTGTGAGTTAAAGGAGATTGTGCAAAGGCATTGGCATCCTACACAGCACATAAAAAGCATCCAACACATGGGAGCTCCTGCCAGGACTTCTGGGACCTCAGACAGCCTTCCTTTGCTGTTCTAAATGGACAACTCTTCCCAGTGATAGTGCCAGGGTTGGTAATTGCCAGTGGTTAAAATATTTCCATGATTTGAGAACAATGAAGTAATGTCACTGATCTGTTTGACCCTAGAAGAAAGTGCTGGTGTTTCCTCCTCAAGTCAGGAATGCCTCTCTTTGGGAGTATATTCAGCCCAAAGAAGACCCCGCCTCGGAAGTCGGCCTCTCTCTCCAACCTGCATTCTGTGAGTGGATTGGGGCACAGGTGGTCTCGGGTGGACAGATAGCACTGGAGGGCATCCTGTCGGTGGAATTTTCTGTGCCACCAGCCAGCTCCCAAATAACACAGACATATTAATTATACATGCTCGACATGGTGGCTTAGGCTTGTTTCTAACTAGCTCTTAGAGCCTAAATTAATCCATTCCTATTACCTTACTTGCTGCTATATCACTCATGTCCTGTTACCTCATCTTGTACATGTCCTGCTTCCTCTGCATCTGGCTGGTGACTCCACCCTTCTTCATCCCAGGGCTCTCTTCCTGTCCATAAATCCCATCTAACCTCTTCCTGCCTAGCTATTGGCCATTTAGCTCTTTATTAAACCAATGAGAGCAACACAGTGTTCAAAAGATTGTTCAACAACAGCATTCTTTTTTTTTTTTTTTTT